AGATTAATCTCTAATAGTTATATTATTAATTATTATCGGTAAAAATGAGAATAAAACTAAAAAAGAAAATAAAAAGAAAAAAAGAAGATAAAACTAATTTGACAATAAATGTTGCAGATATTCGCACGTATATCTTATGTATGTAAAAATTATAGAAATAGAGAGAGAGAGAAAGAGAGTAAGAGTGAAAGTGAGAGAGCTAAAAGATAAATTATCTCAAAGGGCAATTAAAAAATAATATTATAATAATAATAATAATAATAATATTAATAATAATAATAATAATGTGTCGCATAGGTACAATGTATATTTTGTAAGTTATATTAATAAATATTAATTATTGAAACTCTCATAGCAATCTTCTATATTTAATATTTTACAATCGGAATTTTTGAAATTGTGATGAAATATTTGTGCTAAGTAGCACACTATTCAGTCAATTCGTTAATGTTATCAGAGCTTCAACGACATCACCCCTGTGTTCTCTGAGCGTTTGTTCTGCTAAGTGACGATTTATTTCCATTTCTTTCATCTGTAATAATAATAAACGTGGTATCCTTATAAGTGTTTTACAGATTAATCAATGGCAAGAAAAGTTATGTATGAAAATATGTAATGTATTAGTCCAATGCAATTGCTTACAATGAGATCAACATCTTCCTTTTTGATGGAAACCTTTAGAAGTTCCTTCTCCTTTGCTTTCTTTTCAGCAGCTTCTTTGTTACGTCGATCACCAATTATACTGAGTGCCTGGTTAGAAATTTGTTTAAATTTTGTGTTTATTTTTTTCTTTTGTTACAATTCTTATGCATTCAAACAAAAATACTCTCTCGTTTTTTTAGGTTAGCTTCATTGTTTTTGATTTGTAGATCACTTTGGAACAAACTAACAGTTTATAGGTGTATTTGAAGCAACGAATAATACAATACGAGGTAATTTTTGATATATTTATATATGTTAATATACTATTAATGGAATCATAACAAATAACAGTAAAACACGTGGATGGAAAATGTGAAATGGTTAGAATGTAACTTACGCATGAAAATCCGTCGGATGAGGATATTTCCTTCTCCTCCGCGTAATCGGTAACCCTTTCCAAATCTGCAGCACCGCTATCATATTTGGCAGCTTTTTTCTGTGATTTTTCTTGCTGTACCTCATCTGAATCTCCATTTACATCTTCATCCGCCATGTTTAGTTTTTTCATAGCATACTTTAAGTTTATTCAAAAAATGTTTCTTTTCATGACCGCGACATATTAAACCATAAACAAAATATTTGATAGAATGAACGCGTCTTACAATAAAATTTACTAACTGTGTTATCGACAATATATAAAAATAAATGTAGGTAATAGTACACTTCTATTACATCGATGGTAAGTAACTTCTACTTTACCATGAATCGGTAACGAAAATTTTTCGACAATAGCACGCGCTACTTTTTAAATTGAAATATATTTAAAATTAACTTTATAATAAAACATACTTCAATAATTACAATTACATTAAATAATTAAACAATAAAAATTAAACATATTTTAATTACATATTGGAGTTTGTTTTTCATTTTTATTTTTATATATAAGCACCCATTAATATTTAAAAGAATTTAATAGAAACAAATATTTCTATTTTTTTTTATGCATTTTGTTAAAATGTAATTTAATTCATTATTCTAGTAATATACAATTTGAAATTTTTTTAAATATTAATTAAAGAAACGATAACTATCTATCTATAAATGTGTGCGTATATACACATGATCTTTGATCTTGTCTTCATATCTCTCTCTATTTATGAACTCGCATTCCATTGAGATTCTTGGACGCGTCAGCGTGCATCTGTCACGTAACGTTCGCGTAATTCGATTCACACGCTTCCTTTTTATATTGTATCAACGTTAATCTAGTTGAATCTTCTTCGCATGAGATCGAGACAATAAATAATACTCTTGACGCTAAATTTTAAATCTACATGACGTGCACAAAATTACACAATTACGATCGTTATAACAATAATAATAGAAAATACTGAATACAAAAAAATATATATATATATATATATATATATATATATATATATATATTGAAATCTAATTTAAAAAAGAAAAAAAAGAAAAAATTTATATTAAATTTTTACAAGAATTAAACATTATTATTTATTCATATAAATAATGGTGTTACAGCAAAGATATACAACTTCTAAAAGACATTATTATAAAATAAAATAGCGTAATTTAGAAAAAGAGAAAAATAAGGAGAGAGAGAGATAGAGAGAGAGAGAAATATTTTGTATATATCGATAAAGTTATAGACGACAATATGAGATGATTTTGATGATGATTCGATTAGTGTCCTGTTAACATAAACGACACGTTTGATAATAACATTAAAATACTTTCTTAAGTCTTTCTCTTTTTCTTCAGATTTTGCATAGACGTTGTTCTCTTGACTGTTTTCTTTGTAGCCATATTTTTTTTCGTAGCTGTTGATTTAGTTGCCTTCTTAGCATATTTATCGATCAATGAATCGAAGAAATTATTAGCTTGATCAGCTCGTTCTTTGTTACGATTTTGAATTGCTAAAGCTAGATTATTAGCGGCTGCGTTTTCTTCATCTTCTATTTGTTGCATTCTGTTCAATCGTTCAGCCTCCATGGCTTCTCTGGCCCACTAAAAAAATATAATTATTACGAAAGTTAGATCATCTATAATGACTTTCAATTTTGTTCAAGAAATTTTTATTACGATAAGTGTACGTTTGAAATTATTCCGATTAATTACGTTAACTTTTTAGATCGAATTCAATATTTTCGTTCCGACCAGAGACGATCAAACTCAACGTTGCAATTAATAATAACATGCTTTGGCTCGTTAATAAAACAGGTCAGTCAGATTAAAAGCAACGATAAAGAATAAGAAGAAGAAGAAGTGAAGTAGATCCAGAGACGTAACAGAAAGCACTATCGTTAATAAACTCCAAATGGTAGGTAGGAACGCACTTGTAATTTAGTTAAGAGCGAAAAAAGATTTGTTTTCTATTTTTATACACGTGGTCCCACAATCGTGTCTGATCTCAATAGTTATCTCTCTCTCTCTCTCTCTTTTTTGTATGCATATATTTAAATAAATACGTGTCGTAATATGACGGAAATGCTTCTTCTTCTTCTTCTTCTTTTTCATCATCTTCTTCTACACATTGGAAATCATTTCTATATGTATACCAAGAGACGGATAGATTTTAATTTGAAACGTGTCCAATCGGATATAATGTATTCCTTTGTTATTTCTCAAAGCAAAGGATTACGCGTTCTTCTTGACTTGCGAATTTTACAATACCACTATTTGGCACATTTCGAAACGCGCGTATTCTAAATCATCTCATCAGAAATTTTCTCTCAAAAGAGAGAGAGAGAGAGAGAGAGAAAGAGGGAGAGAGAAAAACCGACAAACACAGCTGACCATTAAAAACGCAAACAAACTTTCTGTCTCTATTGCCTTTCTCTGTTCCGATTCACTTGTTGACCCGCACAAAATCCGTAATCATCGATGATGTTTCATATCGCTCGTGACCTACTCCAAAAATTTGCTAACGTGGAAATTCCGTTATTTATAATTTCTGGCAAGTTTCTCTCTAAACGTTGCAAGACTAATGTTAGGAACTTTAGTTGCACAACCGGCTTACGCAGAATTTCTAATTCGTTCATAGGCATGACACAATCTTCAAACTGGCCGAACTTATTCCCTTTATATCTCAGAAATTCGATATATAGTTGACCGAAAATGAAATCGAATCTTTAAGTATGAGGATAATATTTTTTTTTTTTTTTAATAAAAAAAATATCCTAACTTTCTTTTTTTTTTTTTTTTTATTGTAAACAAGTCTCAGAAGGAACGAGTTTTTCTTCAAGGTCAATATTCTATTTGCATTTGGCACCGTTAGTTTCTCTCTTTCATCAAAGATGCTAATCTCAACACCTGTTGTCTAACCACGATCCATGAATCTTTTCTTGAACTTGACTCTGACGATTGACTTAATTGAACAATTGATTGACTAACTGACTAACTGACCGACTGACCGATTAACTAACTGACTGACTCATTGTTCAGGATACTTAAACAAATTATATTTTATCACTTTCCAGGATGATGATTAATTGTCATCATCAAATATTCCAACTTTTACAACGAGCAGAATTGTACGATATAATTAACAAGTGTTAGATTTATCTATCTATTAATTTATCAAGATCAAGATCAGTTTAAAGGGATGATGATTTGTGTCTACATTCTCTTACACATAAACACACGTATATTAAGTCGCGTTTCGTAAATCAAATAAAATAATAAATAGATTCACGATAAAGATATTGCGTTCTGGAACTATCGAAACCAAGGTCGTTGCATAACGAGAGTCAACGTGGTTGGACGATGGCATTAGTAATTATTTCATTACCACTCCGGATGCAATGCGACCCTCATTGCTCGTTTATTTCAATTGTCTGCACTTGCTGATTATCTTTCTTTCTTTCTCTCATTCGTCATAGATAAATCGCATGATTAAATATTTTTTTTATTGTAATTATTGTTAGACCAATTATAGAGTAAGCTTCGAAAATTCGTGCGAACAGTAAATCATTATCTACTTTTGTTAAATAAATGATTGTTTACTTACACACGTACGGAATAATACGTACGCAATTGTAACTCTGGTTCTTGTCTCGTCCAATTAATAAAAGAGGAGTTTGAACAATTTTCATTTACATAATCATAAAAAAGAAAAAAACCGAGAGATGTTCGAAATGAAAACTAAATACAGTGCATGTCGATCGTGATCTCATAAATGCTTACGCGGCTTAATTGAACTCTCTCGTACAAAGTTCTTATTATATTATCGGCTCATACATAATAGTAATAATAATAGTAATTACTACTACTGCTAATAATAATAATAATAATAATAATAGTAATAAATCATAATCGTACGATAGATACGAGTACGAGTGTATTGAATTAAAGTCAATGCAATGTTGTGCACGTTTGTCGTACTAAACTAATGCTATCATTCACAGCAAATGTCCATCAGCTAAAATCTCAGCACGATGATATTCAGAATAAAAGTGAGAAAGATAAGAAAAGGTGTCAGTTCAACAGATATCGGTGAACTTGATGGACACTGGGGAAACGGTTTGTCTGTAGTAGTTTCTACTACTGTCATTGATTGTTGTTGATTTTGTCCGTAATTTGGTGCAATTGACGATTGTAATGGCCGTTGTATGGTCACAGTTGGGTTGTAGTAAGGTACTTGAAGTAAATCAGAAGGTGCAGCAGGTTGAACAATTTCAGGCGGTATTTGTGGTGGTCTAATTGTGAAATGAATATCTTCAGTTTGTATAGTTTCTATATCATTTTCGTTGAGCCCCGGGCTGAAAGATGGATTAGGAAGTGGATAATTCGGTTCTATGAGTATGCCATTTTGCGTCCAATAAGTTTCAGGTGGTTGAGTGGATAAAATATATCTTGGATCTACCAAAGGAGGCAAAGTTTCTCGATTAGTTGGCCTTGAATCAAATGGGAACGTCGTCCTAGTTGGATTGTATTCCTCGGAGTAGTCTAATGGTTTGCGATATTCACTGTCGTTTTCTGTGACAATTGGCCAAGGTTGCGTTGATGGATATATAAAAGGTTGTTCCGTTGTGATTGCCGTCGTCATGTCAGGAAGATAAGGATCAGCGATCGTTGGTGGATATCGTGGCACTTCCGGTTTATTAGTCGTAGCGACGATTGCAGAAGAATCAACCGGTGGGAATAATTGCGATATTTTCTCATTATGATCGGAAGTAATAGTGACCCTCACGGGAGCATACAATGGATAATGTGTTGTTTCAAACGTTGATGAGACACGTTCAGGTGTTCTCGTATCTTCAGTTGTTGTTGTTGTAACAACTGTAGGAAAATGTAATCTCTTTCGATGATCTGGCATTGACGACCAATCCGTCGAAGTTTCCGTTTGGTGATCTACAACCATGCTATCGACAGAAACTTCATCAAAATCCTTCCATTGTGAATCTTTATCAAAACTAATGCCACGAGCATCGAGAAACTTGCTGATAGCGTTCGGACACTTAAACTCAGAATTTTCACTGAGAAATATTCTCTTCAAATGCGACATGTTTTCCATAGCTTGGCTGTTCAAGCACTCGAACCGATTGCCGGATAATCGAAAATCAATAAGACTCGGCAGATTCTCGTACACTTCGTCTTCAATTGTCGTTATCTCGTTATAATTTAGATCCAAATAAGTCAAGTATTCCATGCCTTTGAACCAAGATCCTTTGACTGTTTTTAAACGATTATCGTCCAAACTCAATTGTTGAAGATTGACCAAAGACTGGAAAGCGTTCGGTTCAATATCAATGATGTTACATCGCGAACATGCCAAAACCCAAAGATTACCGAATCGTGAAAACATATCTTCAGTTATAACAGGAATTTCCATTTGTTTTATACGAATTTTTTCCGTTTCGGTTGGTATGGAAAGCAAATCGTCAGGACGTCCTCCGACGCACGAGTATTCCAACATATCATCGTTTTCCACGTGAACGCACGTTCCTGTTGCATCATCGATATTCGAGCAAATTATTAACAACGTTAATCCGAATACGATCCTATCCATTTTATTCAAACGTTCGCGAGATGTCATCTCGTTAATTGTTTAATTCAATGTTATTGTATCGTATCATTAAATTATTATATAGCTTTACGGTAATATAAAAGTCATCGTGGTGAAGACTTTAGCCGATAGACATAACGTGAATAGGAAAGAGGGCGATCCTCGATTCGATTGTCCCGTGAACTAATAGCGCTCTTGCGCGTTCCCTGGTTACTTATTTACCAGTACTCTCCCCCCACCTCGAATACTTCTCACGGCATTGCTTCTCCTTCTCTAGCTACTTTCAATGGTCGAGCGACACTGTCCATTGATAAAAATAGAAATGCAAGAAAATAGAGCAACGAGCGTTTGTTTGTTTGTTCAAATATTGACGTGACGTTTAATGAAAACGTTTTTGACGGGAAGAAGAAGAAGAAGAAGAAGAAGAAGAGAAGAAGCATTCTAATTCAAGATTACTATGCTTCCTTTGATGTTAATAAACTTTTTCATTAGACTTTTACGTCATAATCCAATGTATGTGGTAGCTCATTCGGGATAAAGTATAAGTTCAACATTTTTGAATAATGTGTAAGCATCCAATTGGTCTCTAATGAACGAAGTTACTTATTTCTATGTTTGATCTAATTATGATTTATATTTTGATTAATCATACCTTTCTTTCTCTGCGTAATTTCTTTTTTTTACTTTCCTCTGTGAAAGCTTTGTACTCTGGTACTTCGCCTGCTTCTATCAATTTATTTATTATTGCGTGGTATCTTGGCTCCTCTTCGCAGTTACTGAATGGCACGACCACCAAGATGTAATCCATATCACCTTTACCTATAAAACATAAATGGATTTATTATCACGTATAATACAATATAAGTTTGAAATAAATGAATATAAACTCACCGTCGATGTATGCCTTCTTTAAATCTTTTATTTCAGTTTCAGAACCTTTATACGACTTTTCGTAGTTGCTAATAGTCTCTTCGGTAATTGGTTTAAACAATGTTTTCCAGTAATCAGCCCAGTTGCGCATAATAACTTCTTCGCTTTCCTCATCATATTGACCGGACTCATTGTAGATTTTTCTTTTATCTGAATCACTAAGAATGGAATGTATTCTACCCAGCACCTTAAATTTCTCAGTTGCTTCAGCTTTGACATGTTCCTCGACACGATCAGGATGCACAAGGAGGGAAAGCTTATGATAAGCTTTTTTCACTGATATAACAAAAGAAAATAAAGAATATATTTTATATTAGAAATGAAAATAATTCATTAATCGTGACTAATTAACTTCTCAAATCATAAATAAAAAAAAGAAAATAATTCTCTTCAAGTTACAAATTAGTAAATTTGTTTTTTATTTGAGGTTAGGTTTTCATTAATGCCACATTGATTTACGTACCTTGTTTATCATCAGCATCTTTTGAAATATTTAATACTTCATAAAAATTTCGCGAACCGAAATATTTTTCACATAAATCTAACAAGTCAGCCATATTTTTATTTTAATTAATCGGTTAAAGCAAAGGCGGTTTGTAAAAAATTTATTGATTAGTCGCAGAACTGATCAACTTATACCAACTGACAACAATATTAGTCGTTATCGCTAATGTTTAAGAATACTTTATTTTATCATGATTTTTATACAGAAATGTGACTATTTAATTAAATATCTATTTAATATTTTACGGAATATATTATCACTCTGTTTGATACTTTGAATTTATTATTACATTTGAAATATTATACTGGTGTCAGAAAAAAATACTCCGCCATGTTTTTAACACGTGACACTCTCATCTTCTTAGCGCGCAAATTCAAACTGCATCATATTCCATTTGGTATTCGAGCTATCTTTAATTTTTAAATATATTAAGTGAATAAATAACAATACTAATAAAAAATATTAAAAAAAGACAAATAGGTTTGCCAATATTAAATTTTTAATTGTCTAATTTTCAATCGAAGTATAATTTGAGAACAAAAATATATTTACGTTATATTAATCATACAATATCATTATATTTGTCATCAAAAAATTGTAAAATAAATTTATCGATTTAAGTTTCTTAATTTAATAAAGAAATTACTAATGTTGGATGATAAATCAAATATTTATTCATGTTTCAAATGTTTGTGTTACTCGAATTGTAGATATTAATCTATGATAAATCCAAGTTTGATCTTAATTAGTTATTTTATTATTCAATCGTTAAGTTTAGTTTATAACACGACTTGCAATCTTATAACAATTATATACATAAATTTGTTTTTATAAATATAAGTTATTATCATACATAAGATATTAATATATTCTATATTTTTGTAAATCATAATTATTCCAATCAGTATTTTGAACATGGTTTTTTTATGTCCTTTAGACAATGATAAAATATTCGGCCTTTACAAGGCAATGTCAGCACGCACATGATAATTTTATGAAGAAAAATAAAAAATAAAAATACATTTCACATTTAAAACTTGAATCTATAAAAGGAGAATACAAGTACTTCTTGTTTATGGTAAATTTGCTCGTTGACGAACAAGTGAAAGAATTAAAAGAGACCAGAAGGCTTTCTTTGGCTTGATATTCTCCACACTATATCGTGCTAAATTGCAGATTGTACTTTCTACGTGAATTAGCTCACACGAATACCTTCCTCTTAATGTTTTATTTGTAATTTGTTTTTTAACAATTTTTTCCATAGATTTTTTAATTAAATCGAAAATATGTTTTATTTTATTTTATTCATTTTTTTTCACCGTACACATATAATTGTCTTAATATTGATTGTGTACGGTTAATATTAATTCAATCGTAAAAAAAGGAAGGCTCGCAGTCGCTAACGCATTTTATTACTATTTCTATTATTTATTTAATTTTATTAAACAGTACATGTACTACAAAACAGCAGACACATGCTTTTCTCTTTTCTTCGCTTTACAAACAAAAGATAAAACACACAGGAGTAGGTACTTAATGAGTGATACAATTGCTATCCTTTGACATTGTTCAAAAATAGAGAAATGCGATGTTTGATAACGTTGATAACGTTGAAAAATAATCGACACAATATGCGCATTTAAGCTTATTTGAAAAAAAAAAGAAAAAGAAAAAGAATACTTCTACTCAATCTACTGAAAACTTATGCTTGTTTTCTAATTAACTTATTTTCCTTTATATTTTTTTTTCTTTTTGCAATGAACGATTTTGTAGGTACGTCGTTGATATCTTCCCATATCCGATATTTATAATAATATATAATATATAAATGAATAGTTTTTAAAAAACATTATGTTACATCTTAAAATAAGCTCTTTGTCGATGATCGACATTAATGAACTTTGAGCATCATCTACGTTTATACGCATTATTCGCGTTAACATATATATTAAACTTTTAATATACGTGCATTTTAACAAATCCCTATGTGGACGATGCATTGTGCAAAAACGTTATCTCCTTTGGAGATAGAAACATTTCTCGATGAGAGATTTTACCCTTAACATCTCATCGTTTAATCTATCCTCTTTAAGTGGATATCGAATATTTTTATTATTTTTTTGTTTATTGTATTTCGTTTTTGTTATAATAATAATTATTATTATTATTTTTCTTTTTTTTCCTTTTTTTCCATTAAACCAACTAATATTATCTATATATATATATATATATATAGATATAGCGCGCATTTTTAAACCAATGTAAATTATTCGATCATACGATGCTACTTAATACGATTGATAACCAAATCGGTAAGAACTATCAGAGCTTTTTGGTAAGGGCTTTCAGCTAACGATTGAATCAATCTGGCAGCTTCGGCACAGTGTTTTTTTGCTAAAAATTTCGTCTGATCAAGACCGTGCGACTTGTGTACCAACTCGTACGCTTTCTCAACGTCGTTCGGTTCTTGAAATCGACGCATGATCATCGCGTTGAGTTCTGGATACTAGAAAACAACAAAAAAACACAAATATGAAAAATTTAATTAAAATTGTTTGTTACAAAGTATTACAAATGATAAAATTAAAAACCGTGATAATTAGATGAGTAGATCGAGCTGAACAAATGTTTTATTTACAATTAAATTGAGCATGTACTACAAATACGCAAACCCACTACAAATGTTTTTTCAATATTAAATATTAATAAATATTTAATGGTTTTTTTTAGTTGTAATTAACGCTTGCTTCAATTTCGTTTGAACGAACGAATTATAGTTCATTATTACCTGCTCACAAGCGAAAAGAACAGGAGCAGTAGCCAAGCCGAGTTTCAAATCGACTGCCGTTTTTTTGCCCATCATTGCCAAGGATGCGACAAAATCTAGAGAATCGTCTACTAATTGAAATGCAATTCCAATATTTCGACCGTACTGATAAGCTATTTCTATTATTTCATCGTTGACATCAACCGCCTGTGCCGTCTACGAATAAAATACAATAAAAAAATAAATTGATTAGAAAGTTTGTGGAAAAAAAATTAATTTTCTTATATTATAGCATTTTTATTTGTAAGAATTTTTCTCAATTCCAACTTACCGCTTTAAGCGAATTAGCCATCATACTGGCCGTCTTTCGAAACGTTTTATTGAGGTAGTGAGCAAATCTTTCATTTTCTGTCTCCTTTGAGCCAAGTTGCATTAACTCACCCTTCACCAGGTCAGATACAATCTAAATGTGAACGATATATGAATTATATCGAAATATTTAATAAAGAATATATAATGTAGTTATTTTCTTTAAAATTAATTTACATACCTCAGCTAGTGTAATAATTATTTCATCTTGTTTATAACGCGCGAGTAATATAGTAGCAACCGTGAGAATGTAATTGCCAGCCAACGTCACCTGAAATATACCTTAGGAGTTCAATTATATTTTACAATAACTACGATCTTTATTCTTTTAATTTTCTCCCATTATTTCTCACTTAAGAGGATAATTAAGAGTGTATTGTTTAATCGATACTACTCCCCTTTGTTTAAAAATAATATTTTATCCTATAGAAATAATATTTCTACGTTTTACCATATAGACGCATGTGTGATTGCTGATAAACAAAATAATTTATAATATATACAGGACATATATGCAATCACCGCATAAAAGTGAGAGAATTACGAGAGAATTTATTTAATTTTCCTCTTTCCTCTATATATATTCCACATATTTAATTATAATTATTTTATTAACGTTGTTCAATATTAATCCTTATATTTACTAACGACTCATATTAGCGTCGTACGTCGTATTACGAGACGATTCGTTGATTTTATATATTGGCGTATGCAAAAAAGTTAATCGATTTTCTACAACGAATAGAAAAAAAAATTCATGAAAGAATGTAGGTTGTAAGATGCAATATGTATAATAATAAATTGTTAATGAAGACGTCACTAACGTCACGAAATAGCTTAGTAAAACCGCGAAAGTCTCTCGTATTTCTTATCGCGTTAGAATACAAAGAATGGGAACTTGGTTTACGATCGAAAGGAAACGTGGTAGCTCATGGAAGAGGTCACGGTACGTTGTTCCGTTGTCTCGGATCGCGTTGACAATCGTTTTAGAGTTTCACATCCGGCATCATCATAAACCGCCATCATTAAACACCACCAAGAAGACGCCCATTTTTCACGCTTTTTTATTTTCATTCTTTCGAAAAATATGTCGGCTAACGAAATAAAAAATCTTTATATACGCATAGACGTGCATGCGTATATCTTACGAAATTACGGAAGGAAAGTTATTCTTAAAAAAAAAAAAAAAAAAAAAAA